ATCTTTCACCTCAAATTGAGTGGCTAAGAATTTTTTTAGTTTCTATATTTCAGTCTCCCAATCTCCTGTGATCACTATGTCATCCACATACACAATTAAAGCTGTCCCTTCACCTTTCTTCACAGTGTGTGGTCTGACTGGCATTGTTTGAACCCCATCTGTTGAACTGCTAAGTGGAACTTACTAAACCAAGCCCGAGGTGATTGTTTCAACCCATATAAATATTTTTTTAACCTGCACACTTTCTGCTCACTGCCTTTGGCACAAAAACCTGGAGGTTGGGTCATGTACACTTCTTCTTCTAAGTTGCCATTCAAGAAGGCATTTTTAATGTCCAATTGGTGAAGTTTCCAATCAAAGTTTGCTGCCAACAAAAGAAGAATCCTGATAGAGTTCATCTTGGCTACTGGGGCAAACGTTTCTGCATAGTCCACTCCATATACTTGCGTAAAACTTTTTGCCACTAGTCTGGCCTTGTACCTTTCAACAGTTCCATCAGCCTTGTGTTTCACTGTGAACACCCACTTGCAACCCACTGGTTCCTTTTCTTCAGGAATGTGAACACCCACTTGCAACCCACTGGTTCCTTCCCTTCAGGAAGATCCACCAACTCCCAAGTGCCATTTTTGTGTAATGCATCAATTTCTTCCGTCATTGCATCTGCCCATTCGGGTTTGGGTAAAGCTTCTACCACATTCTTAGGAATCGGGATACTATCAACAGAAGAGAGGAATGCACGATATGAAGGCGAAATATGGTTATAGGACACAAAGTGAGAGATAGGATGATTAGTGGTACAGGATCTAGCACCCTTTCTCTTAGCAATAGGAACATCAAGATCATTAATGACAGGGGAGTCAACATTGAGAGGTGCAAGCATATCAATAGGAACAAGTGTACTTGGCTGATGAGAAGGATCTGCCTCTGGTGAATCTGATGATGTTGGTTGCATAGTGTCAGGTTCCACGGCTCTTGAACTCTACTGGCTTTTGTGGCGACGGAGAAAGACACAGAATGGAGGAGGATCAGGTAGAGGAGGTAGTTGAGCCTGGATGTGTTTCTCCTCAACCCTACTCTCCCCCTGAGGAGAAACCGAGAAGAAAGGTTGATTTTCAAAGAAGGATACGTTAACGGAGACATAGTACTTACGAGAGTGGGATTTTTGCAACGATACCCCTTTTGAGATAAAGGGTAACCAGGGAAAACACAAGGAATATCACGAGGATCAAGTTTACCCTGAGTAGGGGACAAGTTATGAACAAAGCAGCGACACCCAAAAACACACATTGGAATGGGAGACAACGGAGCTGTGGGAAACAAAAGCTGATGTGGAGCCTTATACTCTAGTAACCGAGATGGCATACGGTTGATGATGTACGTGGCACACAGAACAACATCCATCCAAAAACATTTCGGAACATTCATATGGAGTAACAAGCCACGAGCTACTTCGAGAAGGTGCCAGTTTTTTCTTTCAGCAACACCGTTTTGTTGGGGTGTCCAAGCACAAGAGCTTCGTTGAATAGATCCACTCGAAGCAAAGAATTCCGTGAGATCACTATGGAAGTATTCTTTTGCACTGTCTGACCAGAAAATATGAATTTCAGTTTGGAATTGAGTGGACACCATGCATTGAAAGTCTTTCACAATTTTAGGCACTTCATCTCTAGTTCGCATAGGGTAAACCCAAGTATATCTAGAGTAATCATCAATCAAAGTAGCTAGGGCAATTGGCTCCCCCTCTGCACAATTCATCACACTTCTTCTACTCTCTTCTGACTGGACTAAGGCATAAACCTCCTGAACCGATGACAAGTCTTTACTTCCCAAAATCTGTACTCTCATGGACACATATGAAGGGTTCAATCCCAAGAGAAAAGCAAATACACGTTGCTGAGAGACAAGTGACTTGTATGCCTTTGCATCTTCATCACACTTTCAATTTACATTTTGATAGTGATCCAGTTCTTTCCAGATCGATGTCAGATCTGAATAGTACACTGAGAGACTCCTCTCCTCCTGCTTGTAACTAGAGGACTTAGCTTGCAGTTGGTATATCTTGGCATAGTGCCTTTGCTCTGAATAAGTAGACTTCGCTTGTTCCCATATTTCACAAGCTGTTTCAGCCCACATGAATGCCTTTCTTACTTGTGGCAACATGGAAACCAAGAGCCATGACATAACCATACTGTTTTCTTGGTTCCACCTATCATATTCAGCACTTCCACCCTTCGGTTCCTTCACTTTCCCATTAATGTATCCTATTTCCCTAGACCATTTAAGGTAGTTTAGTTCATCGAAGGGGATTACAGCCATGGGAAAACTCATACCCATTCCCCCATTCAGTCCATTATGGTTTTTTGAAACCCCCGACGTAGCAGAATTCTCAGAAGACATGGTCAAAAACAGACAATCAGTCCCAAACACTGGACTTAGGATCCCTCCTTACTCCAAAAACAAAAATGCTCCACACACATACTCAGTCCACACCCACACACTTGGGTTTGAAAACATTCTGAGCACAAACAGTACCAATTTCAGGACAAAAAAGGCAAGATTCGGCAGATTTCAGACCTGTACGGTTTAACAGTCCCAACCTACCAGCCTTCTAGAATGCCGAAGAACATTAATCAGCAGGAGAGATGCTTACACGACTAATCTCACCCTTTTCACAAAATAGAATAGTGTCATCAACAAACTATAGGTGAGTAATTGTTACCTCTTCTCTCCCCACCCTCCATCCCCTTGTTACTTGAACAAACTGCAGGTGATTTTTGGAATCTGCCCTTTCTATGAGTCTCCCAAACAGATAAGCAATCAATGTGAAAAGAAAGGGGGAAAGTGGGCCCCCCTTGCCTAATTCCTCTAGGGGCTGGAAAATGATTTACCATACTGTCCCATAAACCAGTATTGAGTAATGACAAGTCTTAACACACCCTAATATCCCTCTACACCATAGTTTTCAAGGCGCCAAGGCGAGGCTAGGCGACAGGGGGGGAGCCTTGTCGCCTAGTTGCCTAGGCGATGGATTTTTTTAAGTGAAAAATACATATCCTAGGTAGTTCCCTAGGTTCCATAACCATATTTCCTTAATAACTATCCATAATTTTCATAAGAAAATTATAAACTTCATATTTATGTCTAGAAAATCAACATATTTATGAGAAGAAAAAGAAGAAAGAAGAGAAAATTCAAAAAATATGGGGACTGAACCCCTATTTTTGTTATAGGAAAAGAAGAAAAGAAAAGGTGGTGTTGATTAAAGTTTTGTCTAATCAACACATAAGAAAATAATAAAAAGAAATTTGTTTATAAACACAAAAAATGAATATTTTTGTTTAATAATGTCTTTCATAATTATAATCTAAAAAAATAACAATATAAAAGTATTTTATAAGACACTATAAAAAACTGCTAGGCGACTGGGTAGGCGAGCCTCCAAGGGTGCCTTGTCGCCTAGGTGTCGCCTTGACAAGTATGCTCTACACCATTTGTCACCAAACCCAAAACTTTTCATGACATCCTTAAAGAAACCCCAATCAACTTAGATCATAAGCCTTTTCTAGATCCAACTTACAGAGGAACCCTTTCTTCCTAGTTCTTTTCATGTCCTCCACACTTTCATTAGTAATTAGAATCTGATTAGTTATTTGCTTGTCCCTAACAAAAGCCTTTTGATATTGTGGAGTTATGGAAGGGAGTGCAACCCTAATCCTTCGAGAGAGCACATTAGAAATGGTTTTATAAAGGTTATTAACCAAGCTATTCGGTTTGACTCTGAAATCTTTAGGATGCTAGGCCTCAACTTTCTTCGTAATCAAAGTAATGAAGGCTGAATACTTGAATTAAGACTCAGATTAATGATCTCTCTTTCAAAAAATTCATCAAAGACCTTTTGGATGTCATCTTTTAGTTTCTCCCAACAATGTATAAGGCCATGGTAAAACCATCAGTGCTGGGGGCTTTAGCCCTATCCATAGAAAAGATTGCTTCTATTATTTCTTCACTATCAAACCTTCTTTCTATCCACCTCTTTGGCCACTCCAATCCATCAATCCAAATTCTATCATTCAAAGGTTTTCTAAAAATTGATTTGAAATGTTCCACAAAGTCTCTGAGCAATCTCACTTTGTTGGCAAACACTCACCCCATTCGCCTCCAATTTTAACACAAAATTCTTCCTTCTCCCATTTTCCAATGCATGAAGGAATTTAGTGTTGTTCCTATCTTCCTTCTTCATCTCTTATCACACCACCTTTGACTCACTGGAGCCTGGAGGAACACAATGTTCCTGAACTATAGGCTTTGAAATGATGAGTTTGCCACTGTAACCCAATTCATTATTATATCATCAAGGGAAAATTACTTGAAAAACTCCACAGTCTTCAGCCAAGCATCCAAACTATTGCTGCTCTTGTGGCTCTTTACACGACTCTTCCTCTTTTCTTTGGTTGCCTCAGTAAATTTGCATTGAATAGAATTGCAACACAAGAAGGGGTGCTCTGCAACCAAAGAGAGAAGAGAACCAACTCCAATAGTGATAAGAAAAAGAATAGCAGATTAATAGGTGGTTCGAAATCTCATCACTGTTAAGACAAAGGCATCGGACATTAGGAAGGAGACACCAATTGTGCCTCCTTTTATGCAGCAAATCACAAGTGTTTATCTTATTGAGAACCACTTCCACACAGAAAGCCCTAACTCTAGGAGATACTGGAATACACCAAACTTCTTTAGCTGGAAAGGACACATCCTGATTCAGGGATAGATAATTCATGTTGTAGGGCCCTGGTTTTCTTGAAATCACAACAAAGAAGATAATTCATGCTAGAAAACATCCCCTTATTCAATTGTTTTTACTTTCTGTCTTTTTCTTATTTCTTTTACCAAATTAGAGCATGATGATTCATGGTTGACATTTCAAATGGAATCAAACAAACTAACATGGCATTTTGATTTTATTGTCTTACTTGTCACTAAGTTGTTCTTTTGTTTTACAGGATGTAGCATCAAAAATTATGGCCTTTTCACAACAAGGCCCGCATACCATATGTATTCTTTCTGCAAATGGTGCCATCTGCAATGTCACTCTTCGCCAACCAGCAACATCTGGAGGCACTGTAACTTATGAGGTTAGGATGGAATTGGATATAGATGCAATGCTTTTATCAATCTAACCTGCATGTGATAACTGTAATTATGTACTAATTCTCTTCTAATGCTAATTGTCCATTTCATCTTTCGGTATTAGATATATCAGCCCAAAACTTTAAAAAGCATATTAGGATTTCCATATGTATCTACAATTCAACCTCATAAAAAATTATTTGAACCTCTGGATCCTTCTGGTGTCAATGTAGAGAGATAAAAGAACCCTATTATGCCTCCCTCACAATTTAAGGAAGACTATTTAGCTCGAAAGACAATGAAATTAGATTTTGTACCTCAGATTTAAGTACTGCCTCTAGCTCTCTCTCTTGAATGTTGCTTTTGCTTTATCTTCTCTTATATTTGCTCTGTTACAGTCATTTTTCTTATATTCTGTAAGCCACTTCTCCTCTCCATCCACCTTGTGCACCATAATAGCCCTTTTCTCCTTCCTGTCCTACATCATCTGCTGTGAATATACTTTCTCATGTATAACTTGGGGATTCATCCTCAGCCTTATATATATATATATATATATATATATATATATAAGAAAAAGGGAGAGAAGCAGTATAAACTTCTTTTGTTCCCTTGCCCTTTCCCTTTGTTTACTATGAAAATAGTTTTTACTGGAGGTGTTTTTCTGCAATGTTCTTCTTGGCTATAACACTGATATTTGCTTTTGTCTCTACTGCCTGACTGCACTGACGCTCCTGGAATTGGTTGGTAGCTTGGGTCCTGGAGTTGTTTTCTGATTGGAGATCAGATGCTACCCATAGCTTCCAAAATGATCTACAGCTGCACATCTCAAACATGTTTGGCACTTGTATGTTGTCATTAATGGGGTCATACTAGGGATGTGCAGCTATTGATCATGTTGGGAGCTGTGTGGGTAGCATCTTGTGGGTAACAGATCTGGGTACCCCCACCTGAAGGTTTCATGAAGTTAAATTTTGATGGTAGTAGTCTGGGCAATCCAGGTCTTTCTGAGATGGGAGGGGTTATAAGGAATGTAAGTGGTTCTGTAACTTTTTTGTTTTCTGGTCCTTTAGGTGAAGGGGACTCCATGAGGGCAGAACTATTAGCTGCACTACAAGAGGTACAGTTTGCTGTACAGCTAGGAGTGGAGCAGCTACTAATAGAAGGTGATCTCAGGTGGTTGTGGGGTGGTTACAAAAACCAGAGGTTTGGTGCTTCAAAAATGAACTTAAAAGATTCAAATGCTTGATGAGGAATTTGGATGTTAGAATACAATGGGTAGGGAGATCTCCCAATGCTATGGCTGATTGTTTAACCAAGCAAGGGGCTAATAGGGAAAATCTGTATGGGCTCAATTGCAATCCTTTTTAGTTCTTGATGGGTTGGAGAGGTTGCAGCACGTACCTCTCCAAGTGTATTCTATATCAGTGGTTTATTAATAAATTCTTCATTTATCAAAAAAAAAAAAATAAAAAAAGATCTGGACTCTTCTGATTAATGCATATCTAAGGAAGGCTTGGGCCATTTATAGAATATAGATCCTTCCATTGAGTTATTGTTGAACCATGGAATTTTTCTTGATGGATATAAAAGGGCATGGGTTAAAATGGTTGCAATTGATTTTAGGGCCCATAATGTAACAGTTAACATGCCACTGAATATATTCAAATGAAGGACAAAATTCACTTGGCTGATCCCATATAATTAGGACAAGGCTTTGTTGGGTGTGTCCATCCTTTAGTTTAGTTTAGTTATTTAGGGAAAAGACAAGCATTGTATTTAATATGTGAAGGTATTTGTTTAATGTTTTAAGCTAGTAGAATTGAAAGTAGGAATTTAAAAGATTATAGCTGAGGTCCTGTCTCTTGGGTTGAAAAGGGTACTTCTGTAAATCATTTCTCAGTTTCAAGGGGCTTTTATCCTAGAGTGACAAAAATCGACCAAATACTTATTGCCAATTAGACCTGTTCATGGACCAGGCTTGGGGTTGTCTTTTTCCAAAATTCTAATGGGCCCAGCCTGATGCCCAAGCCTGACAGTGTAAAATTGAGCCCGAAGCCCTGCCCATGAACAGGTCAATTGCCAACGAATGCGTGGAGGAATATAGGATAACTGGGAGGAAAGGTATTGTATGCAAATTGTATCTAGAAAAAGTCTACAACTTTGTAGATTTTGGGAGGTCCTGATTGAAGTGATTTCTACTGTGGTTTTGGTGCAAAATGGTATAAATGAATAAGAGGGAGGGTGTTTACAAACTAGTCATTTTTCAATATTGGTTAATGGGGTGGTGTAGGATTTCTTTGGGGCTTTAAGAGGTTTGAGGCAAGGAGACCTCATATGCTC